GCGTAATAACAGTGGCTGATTTTACTGAGTGTTTACTATGTGACAATCACTCTGCTCAGCCCTTTACATAATTCTCTTTTCACATTCACCTATCCTATAAAGTAGGTACTGGAATTAGCCACAAGAGGTGAATGAAGGCCAGAGAGTTAAATAGCTTGCCCGAGGTTACCCACAATTAAATGTAGTTAACCCAAGCTGAAGCTGTAACTTATCCAAATTGTATTTGAGAAATCACTCATTATTTGTCTTAAATCCCTTTAACTCAGTATTTCAATTAGGTTAATATAGTACAAAATGAACTTTATGCACCCAGGATAATAATATAGGCTTGGGTGTGTTGATCTGCCACAAAATTACTTTACAGTGACTCTCATTGCCAAGAGTTAATTACATGTCCTGCAAGATTTGGGCATACAGTTCCAGAGATAGACTAGCAGAAATCCTTTCCTCCACCACCACATGGTTCTCTCTGGCCATTTGCTTTGCTTTTTGTTCTCTCTTTTTGGTTTCATTGTATCCCTTAGGTGGAGAAAGAGAAAGGAGGAGAGAGATGATGGTAATGGGGATGGTGATGATAATTGTGATGATGATGGTGGTGGTGGCGGCAGGGGCAGTAGCTAACTAGCATTTATGAGGCTCCTGTTACATGCCCAGCACTGTGATGACAGCTTTACTAGCAGTTTTTCTTTTTTTTTTTTTTTTTTTTTTATTTTTTTTTTTTTTTTTTTTTTTAATTTTCTAGAGGCATGTCTTATTTATTTATTTATTTATTATCTGTTTGTTTGTTTGGTTTATACATGCACTGGGTACAGTCAGAAGCGCGGGAGGGCGAGAGAATTCACCAGAGCCAGAGCGGGGAGCAGAGCAGGCAGAAGAACCGAAGTACACTGCTGAGGGGAGCAGCGGGCGGCAGGAGAGGTCTGCGCGCCATGTGGGACCCTCCTCCGGTGGCCGGGGAGCAGCCGGGGATCGAACCAGCGCCGCAGAGGCCGCGGGCAGCTTCGCAACCCAGCGCTCAACCGCTGCGCCACTGGGGAGGCCCTACTAGCAGTTTTTCATATAGTCATCAAAAAATCTATGAAAGGCTCATTAAACCCCATTTTCTGATCAGGAAATTGTCTCTGAGACTATAAGGAAATTGACCAAGATCGCAGACCCAGGTAAGACAGGTAAGACCTGTGCTCATAATGATGACACTATAGAGCAGCTCTCCTGGCCCTCTGTGACTATGCAGGTACCTCTCTTTTTCTTTCTCCTTTTCCTAATAAACCTGTGCTTTTAAGATGTAAAAAAAAAAGAAAATGAAAACTGTAGAATGGAATAAAGAAGAATTACATGGCAAAGTTTTAGATCAGTCTTCCAGCTCCTCTTAGATAGAGTTTTCAGATCTGGTTGCAGTTACTGGAGAAATTCCCAGGTTTTCAAGGACCCAATTATCCTCCGGCCATAGCTGTGACAGATATCTTTTGGGTTCCAACTCCAAACCCTCACAGAATTATCCCTAGAGAGCATATTTTAAAGGTGCCCAGGGTACTGGGGGTTTTATTACTCTAGAGGTTTTTGTAGATTAAATTAGCCTTATTTAGGAAGTTTCCAATTAATATACCTGAATTCAGAGGAGTCGTGATTATATTTAATTACTTAGTACATGCCATCAGCTTGCCATTTTTATTTCTAAGGGTTTAGAGTACATTTTGCCAAAATTTTAGTGCCCAGGTGTTAGGATATCTCTGGAAAAGGCATGTCTGTTTCAAAGAGAAAACAAAATGGGGAGAACTTAAAATGTTTTATTAATTTCCTCTTTTGAAGAATCATAATAAATCTGCTGTATTAGCATCCATCTCAAATAAAGTAAAACCTGATTAGTAAGCCCTGTGAACTGCATGAGGAAAAGCAGGAGCAACCCCAGTGCCCAGTAATGTCCTGATAAGTATTTAACCCTTGCCCTTTGAAAGGAAAAATGCCATGGCTTGTGGCAAATGCCAATTTCCAGACTGTAAAACCTACCCCCATAGATTGTTTCTATCAATGTGCCATCCCAGAATGTGGAATTGGAGAGAGAGGCTCACCATCAGCTCCCACGACCAGTACACCACAATCCCCTTTTAGGGAGGAGTAATTAGATGAACAACGATTCCAATCCTGTACCTAATCCTGGAGACCTTGGAGAGTGGGCAGGTGGCTTCACCTCCCTAGGCCTTTGTTTCCTTTTCCTCCGCAAAGGATAATATGAAAGCTCCCTTTCACCTCTAACATTTTAAAGTTCTAGAAGGCAGTGACTCCTACTTTCTCTGACATCCAAATGCCTTTAAGCGCCTTTCTGGAAAATCAAGTTAGTGCTGTGCAGCATCCAAAAGTGCCTCCAATTTCATCTACTGAGCATAAGGTTTGGAAAGGAGTGACTTACTCCCTTTTGCCTCTTTAAATGTGTAGCCAATGGGGCATCATACATTTTTTACACTTCTTTTGCTAGATGTGAGATCCAGGAGGAAAAGCATGGATGTTCCAGGGCTTTCTTGTTCTCCTGGGGTGGGAATCTGTGAGTGTGATACACTGATCCTTTGCTACATGCATTTCCTACTTCCCTACCCTTTCAGCTGCAGAAGTGAGTATTGATAGTATTCTACCTTTTTCTTTTTATTTCTCACTGCCCAAAAGCCATTTACAAGAATGGAAACTACTTATATAAAATAAGGAGTTGGGGGTGGGGTAGGGGTTGCATTATGCTTTTTTTCCTGAAAGGTGGCACGTCTCTCAGCAAAGAGAAAAAGGCATGTTGTACAAGGCTTGCTGGCAGTGATATAAGCCAGCGCCGGTTTGTCTGTTGTCACAGCCAAAGCAAAATGCCACCTCTGCCTGGAAGCCAGAGTGCCACATTCCTCTTTTATGTCCCTGAAATGCACCCATTATGAGGTCCTGGGTTTGTAGATTTGGCCACCCAGGAGGTCACCCACGTTCTTTGAAGGTCATTCTCCAGTTGCAGGAGGGTGGGGGTGAAGAGGAGCACATTGTTCATGTCTTTCAAAGTGATTATTCAAGCCCCTAGATTGCATGTCAGATCCAGCTAGACCGTGTAGAATCTGAGACCTGGAGTGAGCACAAGGGAACCCCCAGTTGCTGAGAAGAAGGTAGAGCTGCAGAAATAGCAGTAACTCAGTGCTATTCTTGACCCCAGACCTCTTCTTAACAAACCCAGATGCATTGACAGCAAAAGCGCCACAATCCCAAGGCAGGAGGTGTCGAAACACCCCCCCAACAGCACTACCCCCACCCCAAAAAAAAGTTTCAGTAAAACGGTTCTCACTCCTAGAGGGAAAAACCTGTCAGTGCCTGAAACAGCTTGACCAGGGCAAATCCTCTCCCTCCATGCAGTGAACTGCAAATCACAAGAAATAATTCCCCACCCCCCAACCCCCACCCCGCCTGCTCCCTGGGGAGGGACAGAAGGTTCCTAAAACTGACAGTTTCGCCTCCATGATCTTTAAAAGAGCAGAAGTTGGCTGTGAGGCTGCAATGCTGCCTCCATTGGGGTAGTGTGGTCCCTGCTTACGGCTGGGCTCCAAAGAGAGCCACAGTTGGCTCTGATGAAGAAGGAGCCTAGAAATGAAAGATTGCAAAGAGGGCTTCTGCACGCCATGGCTGAGACTGTGTCGTTTCTTGCAAGGTGAAACTTGGCAGTCCTACCTTGCAAGTAAAAACCCAAATTAATTTTTTTAAAAGAAATTAAGTCAGAAACAAGGCTTTGGAAAAACTGTGAGTGTTAGGCATAAACTGATTTTGGATGATCTTTAGGTGAGAAAGGGTGGAGTTACCATCAGAAACATGTTTTTATTTATGCTTTTCAAATCCCCACTGGTGTGCAATGTGTGTGCGCGTGTGTGCGCATGTGTATGTATGTGTGTGTGTGTTGGTTAGCATGAGAGTATGCATCGTCTCAATTCTCTAACCACTCTTTTTTTTTTTAACATCTTTTCTGTGCACAGTTCATATAGATGCCCCATAAATAAATATATAGGTCCATCCACACCTTTTCATTTTATTTGTAAATTGTTTGGTATAAGCGGCAATGCGTAATGAAACCTGGTGAAGTTTAAAAGATTAGATTTTTTTTCATACTGACACTTCATAACACTGTTCATATGTCTCCGAGTGAGATTTATGAATATATGAGCAGTACTGCAAAATTATACCGCACCAGAGACTTCCTGCACCACAGGGGTGGCAGTCTAAAGTGACACAGCTTCAAGCATTTTTCACAGACAAGAAGCAAAATTTAACCCCCTTAAGGGGAAGTATGATTTCAACAGCTTGAAATGAGCTCATTTGTAGATGGTTTTTTTTTTTTCCTCTCATCTTCCATAATTTTTTGGTGTTAAGATTAAAACAGATTGCACAGCCAATGTAAGGGCACGTAAGATGCCCGGGGTATAATTTGGCCCTTAAAGAGAAACCCTCGCTCATTGTCTCTGTCTGATTGCCCCAATAGAGTAAATGAAAGTAAACTTCACCTTGAATTCCTAAGGTTCTCAGTCCAATTCTCAGAATTGTCCTAAGAAGCCAGGGTCTGAATCTTTCAAAAAGGTAAGTAGCAAGTGACACTATCCGTTGGTTCCATGGAGAAGCCTCTATCTTCCTGGACACCCCCAAACAATGGCAAGAGGAAATAAACAGTGGCTTGAATCTCAGCTGAATAAAATTAACCAACCAAAAGGAGAATCAGAAGAGCAAAAGGTGGTCTTTATGAATTAATTGCAGATGAGACGTCTATAGTAGACAAGTTCTATTTTAGATTCAGTGTCCAAACCAAGCTCTTTCAGGCTGATCGTGTTCCCTGTGATACTGTGGCAGCTGACGTTCATGATCTCCATGCGCTCAAATTCTCTTTAACCATTTTGTTTCCTCCTGGAACAGAGTGGGGTGCTCCTCTGGGGCCCGCTCCTTCTCTTCTCTGTACGTGCTCCATGATGTGTTGGCTGGAGAACTTTTGTCTCTCTTTTCAGCAATGGTACAACAGCTCCATGAACGTGATCTGCACCTGGTTGACGGACCGGATGGACTTACAACTTCACATTTACCAGTTGAAAACACTAATTAGGATGGTAAAGGTAAAGGAAAAACTAATTATTACTCTTCGCAAATAACTAACTGAAATGCATTTTATTGACAAGCTGCAGAGCTCCCTTAACACAGAGAGTATTAGTTTACACATAAAATGATGATTTCTAAAACAGTATCTCCTGCAGGAAAAAGCCATGAAATCACTGTGGGATGTACGATTAAATAATTACTCAGCTAGCAAAGGAAAATTTCGTAAAAAGGAATGTGGTATTTTACACAGATCAGGAAAATATGCTGTATATTTGCTGTGCAAAACTACCACAGAGGCTGTTGTGCCCTTTGCATTAGACTTTTCAAAAGCTGGCTTTTGGTACCACTATGCTAATCACATCAATTACCAATTTCATTTCTAGTTTAATTAAATAAAATTTTGCCACAATTAATTTAATAGAAATATTTACTTCCAGCTATTTCTAAATATGTCCTATGATCATTATCAGGATGCAAATCAATATTGTTCTCATAGTTAATTGAAGTAGTTTCTCTTACAATGCGTGTATACAATCAAATGTAAAGGATCACAAAGGTGAGATAACATACCCTGAAAGTAGCTTTTTTCCCTGTTCTTGTCTGTGCGCCTTGGACTAATGATAATTATTTCAGCGTGAAATCTCAGTGGTTTACATGAAATAATAAGATCACAGAAGGGGGTAAATACGTTTTTGATCATTTCAGTTTCCATTTGATGCTTCACCATAGAGGGTTTTAAAACATTCGTATGCAAAAATCTCATTCAATGCACAAGGTCTTTTTAAAAATATTTTAACAATAAATGGTAGCTGATTTTCTATTTCTTAACAATTTGCCAAAAGCCCACCTCCCCACCCCCGATATTCCACTCCACTTCTTAGTCTTTTTCGGATTAGCACCATTTCATTGAAGGTGCTCCTCTACCCCAGTGCTAACTTAAAACCAATTACTGTTCCGTTGAGTGTAATTAAGAAGAATTATTATCATCTGCATTTGATCTCACAAAGAGTCCGCCCAGGGAAGGTTACAGGCAGCAATGTATTATAGCACTTAAAAAACAAATGCATGCACTCGTACTGCAGACCCAGTCTAATTTTCTTATAGACATATATATATATTTTTACTTCTGTTCCTGAAGGAGCTTTCACTAGCCGTTGCCTCTGACTACTTGAATTCCATTTTTCTACATGTAAATACTCTTTCGGGGAATTTTTCTCTTTGACCCTTCCTGGGTAGACAAGAAAAAAAGATGTTACTTTTAATATTTCTAAAGTCTTCCCATTACTGATATTTCCAGATCAATTATAGGAAGGTTGCAATTAGCGGTGTTTTTATTAAGAAAAAATATAAGTCAGAAAGGAGATTTATTCTTAGCCTCTGACAAAAAACAGACGTGAACCATGGAGAAGGGACACAGAAACTGCCAAAGGAACTCCTTCACTCCTTCACTTTTGCCCAAAGTAGCCCAATTAACTAGTGCTGTAACACAGAGGTATGAAGCAGAATTCACCACCTCTTTACCAAGTGCATTACCCAGCAATCTCCTCCTCAAGGCAAACTTCCAAAGACAATTGGTTCTCTTTCCTGCTTTTACCCTCACCCCGTTTATTGCATTTACTCATTATTCAGCAAGTATTTATTCATTCATCTAACATTGCATAATTATTAATTGAGCCCCTACTTCTAATATTACAAAATGGAGGCTTGAAAAATGATAGATACAGTCCCTGCTCTTAGGCATTGAGAGTCTAGTTGGAGGACACTGCTCAGGAATTTGAAGAAAGAGGAAAATTCTGCAGCACTTCCTAACTTTCTTTTCCCTATATATACTATCAACAACAATGGTATTCTAAGTGGTAACAACAACTGATTGAAAAGTACAAAAAAGAGATTAATCATCTCCGCCATGCCTAGCGCTTTCTCAGCTTCCTGCCCTTCCCCTCCAGGTGAGGACACAGTTTAGGGAGCTACCTAGCTACTCAGAAGAGCCTCCTAGGAGAGCCTTGCAGCTTGATCCACAATTAGGATGATCGTTTAATTTAGTATTGAAACCAGATTGCTTTTAAGAGGGAAAGAAGGTGCCGTGAATCTTCATGCGGGGACGGCGGGCATAAATGGCAAAGGGGACGTGTGGCCATCTCAGCCCGAATCTTATTGAACTTCAGTGAGATGAACGGCATCCACTATTTAACTCTGCCATCATTGCAACTTATGACCTTCAAGAGGGGATGACATTGTAATTGTTGGCATTCCAACTGCATTAGGTGGACTAGAAAAAAAACAAAATCCTGATGGAAGTGAAGTATGTTAACAGTCTTTCTCTTGTCCCTTAGCAAGTTTCCCATATCAATAGGAGAAACAGCAGAATCAGTAGCTGAAATGATATGCAGTGTGATAAGAAGAGTTGTAGTTAGAGACCTTTTAAAAAAAAAAATTTCACGAAGTACACAACAGCCAGACGCTGCTGGTCATGTTCAATTAACGCTAAGGGATTTCTAGAAAAACAGTGCCTGGGATACCTAAGGAAATCCGAGAGAAATCGCCTGAAGGAACAAAGAAAGAACTTGTGGTACAGTAATACCAAACCATTGTTCTTGAAAGAGAGCCAAATTTCTTCCCTGAGACCATGAAGTTGTGAACGGAATTGATACACTTGTTTCCCAAGGAGATGAGAAATGAGTCACATGCCTGCAACATATTGATGAGGCATTAGCGCTCCATCTTCCCCATAATTGTGGCTGCCCGTAATAGGTTTCATATACCAACATACATATGTCTGTCTTGTGAATGAGACAGAGTGATATGCAGTAACAAGCCTTAAAAATATTAAAGACCAGACTGCAACAGAAATTGCAAAATACCATCATCCTTTGATCCATTTCTATGTTATAGCCAGCCCCTGACACTGTCTATCATATTATATTATACTAACCTAGGAGAGAAAAACAGACCCCCCTCAAAAAAAGAAAAAAAAAAAAACCAAAACAATTATGGAACATTTCCCTTTATGGAACTGAATAAACACAAGCTTATGTTCTTTGCTTTGTCTCATCTAATACAGTTTATCCTGTCACAATTTCTCATTTTCTGTCATTCAATGAATAATCTCAGTTTTCAGTGCAAGTGCGCTCCGAGCATGGTGGCTTTGCATCTGACAATGCATAAAGTGTGACACTTAGCTGAAGGTCATTGTTCTCACACCCACACAGGCACTGTGTCCTTTCCTTCCTCTTGATGGAGATGAGGTCTCCCTTATCACTGCGTCTTTTCCCTCCTTAGAAAACCTATAGAGATTTCCGATTGCAAGGGGTTCTGGACTCGACCTTAAACAGCAAGACCTATGAAACCATCCGGAACCGCCTCACTGTAGAGGAAGCCACCGCGTCAGTGAGCGAGGGTGGGGGCCTGCAGGGGATCAGCATGAAAGACAGTGATGAAGAGGATGAAGAAGACGATTAGAAGGTGCAGGCCCTGAGCCCACCAGGATGGAGTCCTGTAATCACTGCATGTCCTTAGTCTGTTAGTTACCCCCCCATTAGGGGATTTTCTGTCAACTCCCATGCCCATGAGGTATTTACCAATACAATTGCCATGTTAGCTCTGTGGTACCAAGATTATTAGCAAATGACCTTCGAATCCACGATTTCCTGATGCCATGTCTCTGTTTACAAGCAATATGGAGCACCATTCTTTAAATACTGTTCATGGAGAATACATAGTCCAGCTGCTAGGTGTGTCCCTGTTATCAGCAAAGTTAAATGATGCTTCATTACTGTACCGTGTACACATTGATGGTAAATGGATGTGCGGACAAGTACACCAAGTACTTTCACATCTTTGTTTCACGTATGTGGATGCCAGTTAATAATATAAATGACTACAATAAATTAAGATGCGTAGATCTGCTTTGTTTTCTGAAAAACAAAAGGCAAGGCTCCAACAACCAACTTTTGGTTCTCTGTGTTCCCCTATAACTAAAAACCGAGCCCCTGGTGTCCTTGTAAACCCATTCTTTCTATTATCCCATATAGTTAGGAAAAAAAAAAAAAAGATGGCCACATACCAATGGATTGATGCTCTGAATTGCCATGGCAAGGGCAATCCTACACTGACTGAACATCAAGCACAGTTCCGAGCAACTGTCTACTGTCAAGTTTCTCCTATTCAATGTTACATTTTGCTTTTATGTTTCAATAACCATGTATGTAAAAAAAACCTGAATATTTAAATTACAATCCTAGATTATAAATGTGTTTATAATAAGATATGGATATTTCCTTCTGTAGGTTGTAACCATAATTTAAATTATTTTGTTCCACACTGTTTTTTATATCTGTCATGTACATTGCATTTTGATCTGTAACTGCATGACCCTGGGGTCCTCTGCAGGGCTATTTCTTTCTGTGTAAAGTAGTGGATCCATCTTGCTTTTGCCTTATATAAAGCCTACAGTTATGAAAGTGTGGAAAACTGTGGCTTCTCAATAAATAACTATTCAAATGTCCTAAGAATACACATTTGAGTCTTTTTTTTTTTTTCCTTCTGTCTTCTTTGAAAGTCTGAAGTGAGCTCCACGAAGGAGGGAGAGGTGGGAAAGATAAGGAAGAGGTAATTTCCTTAGAGTGTTCTTGAAACTGTTGGAGTGGGTAATTTTCGAATGCTTGTCTCCAGGAGACACAGTCTAAAATCTGCTAATTCAGACTCCACTAATTCAGAATCTGTGGGCATTTGGATATGTTGGGCAGATTATGCTTGCATTATAGGATAAATAAGGGTTTGCTAAGCAAGAGAGTAGTGTAAACGAGAGAAATGTTTCTCCTGTACGAAGAGAAGGCCAACAAACTGTTTTTAAGCACCACTTTAACAGCAGTGTTTGCATTCAAACAAAGCGTGTGCCAATTATATATGATTCTTATATATTTGTTAAAGCATTTTACAAGATTCTCTATGATGTGGAGCACTCTTCCCACTCTCCAGTCCTTCTCAGCAATATAGTCACCTTGGTTTGAAAGAAATCAAACGTTCTGTAGCCTCGTCTGTTTTACCAGTATCTGTCACTGCATCGAGTTGACCTTTCCCAATGGCTGACTCAGTTTTAGGGAAATGTCTCGTTTTCTAATTGGATCAGGTAGAATGTACACCAGTTGTTCCCTACAAAGTAACCCCATTTAAATAGCACCTCCCACTCTGTTTAATCCTTGAGGCGCAAATTAACAATTCTTCCTCCCCTTAGTAGGATTACAGGAATGGCTTCCATTATTCAGCAACTCTTCTACTCCAGGCATCTGCGTGTATAGCCTAATTTAAATATTACCACAACCATACGAGAGAGAATTGTTATTACCCTCAATATAGACTGGGACATTGAGTTCAGAAAAGTTAAGGTGACTTACCCAGCGATTATACAACTCCATGTAGAAACATTAATCCAGAGATCCTAGCATAGAGCTAGCAATCTACATTTGGTGGACATAGCATTCAGGCATGAAGAAATCTTTGATCCCTCAGTAGCACACAGTTAAGTCAGTATGGCCAATCCAGGATTTTTTTTTTAATACACTTGTATTTTGTATTTATGTATTCTTGAATTACAAGACTAAAGCATCTTTTTCACAACAATTAGAAAACATGCAAAGTAAAGAGAGAACATCTACCCCATGTATAGGAGTTAGGAAAAGGAAGAAAATGTTCAACAACCCTGAAGAGAGCTAAGTGAGTGAATAGATAAGTTACCAAATGGCATGAAGAGAAAAGATGGTGTTTCCAAAACCAAGGTCCCAAAAAAAACAAAAAAAAAGACTCCTTCAAAGGAAGACTTCACTGCAGCCTAGCACTAAGAGTCTTGATGAATAGTGTTCCCCAGAATAGCAACCCTGTAAGAAGGCCTATGGAGAAGGAATGAGATAAGAAGAGATGAAAAGAGAAAGAAGTGACCAAATTCTGAGTCTCAGGGTATCCTTATGACAGACATAAACTGATATCTTAAGCTTTCTTTTGTATTTCTTTGCGATGTCATCTGAAGTTTTCTATTCTCTTTCGTAAAAAAAAAAAAAAAATTAAAATACAGCATCCATAAGAAGAGTGCACAAATCCTCTCATAGTGACCAAAATTTAAACACATTCATAGAACAACAAAGTCAAGAAATATAATTGAATAAACACCCCAGACCTGCTCAGGCCCATACCCTTCCCAGTCTCTATCACCTCCTTACTTGCCAAAATGAACCACTATCCTGACTTCTAACAGCATCAACTGAACTTTCCCCTTTTTGAACTTTATATAATTAGGATCATAGTATGTATTCTTTTATGTCTGACTTCTTTTTTACTCTATAGTGTTGGTCTAGCTGTGGTGCATTTCTTTTTCATTGCTCTATAGTATTCCGATGTGTGGCTATATCACAGTTTATCCATATTAAAATGTTGTTTTTTGTTTAGGGTTATTGTGAATAATGCTGCCATGAGTTTCCTTGCTGGATCATAATGTACAAGTGTATTCATCTTTAGTAGATATTACCAGGGTGAACAAGTTATACTCTCATGAGTAGTGCCTCCAAGTCCCTGACAACAATAGGTATTGTTACTCTTAATTTTCATCATTCTGTTAAGTGGTGTAGGGTTTCATAAATGTAGTTCACTGATTATAAAAATAGGATCTGTTGCCTTTTAACATGTATTGTGCAATTTGGGAAGCCTCTCTAGTGAAATACATGCTTAAGTCTTTACCCCCTTTTTTAAAAGACGAAAACATACAGCCATTTGAAGACTGGTAGGGGAAAATCATAGGAAAAAGTATCAGATGGATTATGAGACAAAGATGTCAAGGGAAAAGTTAACCTGATGGAAAAGATTCACTGTATTAACAATCAGTCCACAAATAGTTGAGTGCAGGCTGGTGGGGCACTGCTAGAAACATCCAGGTTCTTTCTTCTCCATTAGGGCTCATCAGCTAGCAGGGCCTCTCTAAAAATCAAGTGTGATCTTGTCCCTTCTCCAATAAAGTGTCTAATGTCTCCCCTTGCTCATAGCATGAAGTTCAGTCTGCTAATGTGAGGTGCAAGGCCATTTACAATCTGATCCTCACCTGTCCCTTCATCCTCTGTTAACTGTTCTCCTCTGCCTTCCAACTTTCAGTTTCCCTTTCTGTCTTTCACTTCCTGCTGTGCACCATGGTTCTCCCCACCTGGGACCCTCTCCCTGAGTACCTCACGTCATCTTTTAAATCTCAGTTAAATTTGACTTCTCCAGAGAAGCTTTTCCAAACACCACCCTGAGGTTAACATCCATTATCCTGCTGTAGATTCTCAGAGCAGTCTCTACTTATCTTTCATAGTGTTCACCACACTGTTCATGAATGGATGATTTGTATCACCACCTATTTCATGTAGCTTTCCTGGCCTTCGGAAGACTCTGGGCTGCACCAGCTTCCCTATGTTATCTCCCTAAACTAATAAATGAAGGTTAAGAGGACAAAAAGTAAAGGCTGAGTACAAAAATCAGATGATCCAATTTATATTCCCTTAGAATACCTAATTTGGGCTGTATGAATCCTTAAAAAACACATCTAGACTAAATTCTGTAAGATTCAGAGAAGGGAGAAGGAAAGAAAGCTCTCCTGAGGAGGGGGCCTTGACACACTCATAGAACAAGAAAGAACATGGAGCAACCTGAGGGCTGTACCCCTTGACGGAAGTTTTCTTCTCTGACAGATTCCCAGTGCACGTAATAGACACTCAACAAATACATATAAACTTCAGACTTTAATGAATATGCTCCATGTGTTAGAGGCGCCTGGCTTCATGGAAAGATTTATGCAAGGGGTTGGGGGAGATTTAGATAGGAGCAGTGGATTAAGGTTTCAGAGGAAGACATTTAGTATTTTTATTTTTATTTTTTCAAAATAAAGGAAAATTTGAAGTTAAAAAAAATTAAATAGAGCAGGATTATATGAAACAAAAAGTTGAAACTTCTCCCTTTCCCAACTCATTTCCCCAAAGTAGCCATTGCTAACAGATGGGCATACATTCTTCCAAAAATGTTCAAATCATATACAAGTATATGGATACATATATATCCAATATCCAATTGGGTGTATTTATATTTTTTAAATGTATTTTCAAAAATAGGATTCATCCTGAGCCTACTAAGCAAGTCACATTTTTCCTTCATCAGTGTAGGATCATATCCATGTCTGCACAGATTTCCCACATCACCTTTAATGGCTGTGCTATGTTTTTGGTCAAAGAAGAAACAAGAGCAAAGCAAGGTAAACTGAAAATCCAGGATGAAATTAGGATGGATTGAAACATAATGGAGGAAATGAGCCATCTGTGGAGGTGACCCAAGAGACTGTTTGAAATGTGTGACTAAAGAATTTCTGAAACACCCCAAATCCAATTGCAGTCTAACCGCTTACTATCATAATGATCTGTTTATGTGTCTGTCTCCCTGTTAGACTGCCAACTTCTAGGAGGTCAGGGACTATGTGTCCCTTTGTATATGCCAGTCTGGTGCCTGGGCTAGAGTAAGCATTCAATAGTGTTGGTTGAATTGAATGGTAAATATCAGAGAGACACACCTGACTTTGGTCTCGACCAAGAAAGCATAAACAATGCAGTACAATGTACTCTCTCTATACAGAAAGAACTACTAAATAAGGGGGAAACTCAGTAGCTTTAGGGAAACCATCAACCTCACCATTCATGAGACCTTTCCTCCATTATGGATTTTTCCAGACTTGACTTGAACTGTTTTGCTCTCATAAATTTGGGTTTCTGTACAAATTTTAGGAAATCATCCAATCTACAAGGGTTCTATCATTATTGTCTTAGCATAAATTTTAATAAGTTCATTTTATTTAAAATTTAAAATCCAAAATAAGTTTGTTCTTT